GGTTTTGGCTTTGTTTGCGTGTGCAGACCGATCGGTGTATGACATCAAAATACCATACAGACGGTTCCTTATGCTTTCGAGGCAGACATCGGTCTGCACTCGCAAACAAAGCCAAAACCTAGATATTTTAGGCAATATAGAAATCCTGGCCAAGACGCGTCCTGGGAAAATGGCACGTATGGTCACCCTAGTATAACAACAATCAAGAGCTTACAGCTCCACACCCAAACTGTGATGGTTACAGTTGTTAAACTGGCAGTAGTAGCATGTTTTAAATCACAGTGTTTGCTTTTTTATATTAATCTTGATAGACCTTGTAGTAATGCTGAATGCAGTAGTTCCAGGCTTTAAAGCATAATTAGAGATTATCATTAAATGTCCCATATTGTACACCTTTCTGGAGTTTTATTTTAGGTTTTGATGTCCTTAAGAATATACATTTGCGGTATAAGTACCAAAAACCATCTCAATATATTTTTACAGCTCCTTTCTCAGGAGCTCTGCCGAGAACAGGACGATTTTGGCCTGTAATTAATATTCATGAGCCTGTCTTCTGATTGGCCTGTTGTGTTCTGAGTGACGCACGGACAGGCCAACCACAGCTAACTAGGGTCAGCGACGTCACAGCGCTAGCTGGAGGCAGCAAAACAAAGGGGAAACGAAGTGGGCTCAATGTAAACCAAATTTTGCGCATTTTGTAAATGACTTTAAATTATATGTAAATCTCTTAGAACAAACAAAAAACAAAAAAGCACTGAAAACATGTAATGCTCTGAAAGCATTGAACTTTATGTAATTTTCTTCCTTTTTTATTTTTTTTTTCTCTGGCAGCTAATAATGTTAATTTAATAATGTGAATATGTAATACCTCATGTACTTGTGGCATTGAATTAATAAAGCATTAAAAAAAAAAAAACTTTTATTATGAAAGAGTGACGTTTTTTTTTAGCTCGGAACTGCTCGCGCATGCGAAGAATATTTTTACAGCTCCTCTCTCAGGAGCTCTGCTGAGAACAGATCGATTTTGGCCTGTCTAATTAATATTCATGAGCCTCTCTTCTGATTGGCCTGTTGTTTTCCGAGTAACGCATGGCCAGGCCAACCACAGGTAACTAGGGTCAGGGACGTCACAGTGCTAGCTGGAGGCAGCAAAACGGTAAACTGGAGGCAGCCCATTCAAACCC